TGCAAATTTTGCAAGGCTATATTATCCGCATTTTACAACATTTCGCAACGAAACTTTGGAATATTACTAAATATTATCCGCATTTTACAACATTTCGCAACGAAACTTTGGAATATTACTAATTTTGTCATTTGTGATGCTCTTTCAAGCTGTGATGAAATTTTTGTCTAGATCAAAATTTAGTGTATAATGCAAATGGTCCATTAACAAAAGCTACAACTCCACTCATAGGCATACGGGGCTGATGCTTTCGGGGTGGGGGTGTGGGGGGTGTGGGGGGATGGCAGGCAACAGTTTGCCCGAATTCTTATGGGGAATTATAATCTGCCCGAATTTTCTAGATTTTCCCAAGCATTTGCGCGAATTTCCACTTGTAATTGCACTTATATTATACCACGCTCAATTGTACTACGTAAACTAATTTAGTAATTAATATATTATTATTGAATCTATACATTAACGTTACGGCTAATAAAAGAATTCTTGCGACCGTATTTTAAATTCACAAGGGAATTCAGACTAACAAATGTTTCTAGTAGTAGCCAATCATTGCAAAGTTTTCGTAAGGAAAACCAATTATGTAGAACTGACTAATATGCAAATTCGTGGCAAATTTGAAAATTTCTGCTCGGAGCTTCGAGGTGTCATTTTGACACGAAGTTTAGCAAATATGCATTTTAACTCTTTATCGTCCGGCGATAAATTTCATATTTTTCATTCAATTGCTTCCGATATTTACCCCCCTTTAAAACGGAAACCAGCGTTGAAATCCTCATAAAATATCCTTTCGAACGGGGGGTCAAATGCTTCCGATATTTACCCCCCTTTAAAACGGAAACCAGCGTTGAAATCCTCATAAAATATCCTTTCGCACCGTTATAACATTACACAAACCAAAACAATCGTGTATTTTACTCACCGCTTTGCCAAATATTCTGTATTTCATATCCAGAAAATCTTGAATATCTCTGAACTCCTCGGAATTCCCCCCAAGTCAATCTGAGTGAAATTCTCCCTGTATTCAAGCGTTTTCGTGTGGAAAATTTCGTTTGAATACGGCCAGTAGAAATATATTTATTTTGATTTTTTCAAAATATCGGGTTTTTACCGGTTTTTACTCGCACGCGCCCGCCACACGCTAAAATTGGCCAATAAGGAGCACCCGTAGCCCGATGCACGTGAAAATCACGCTGCAGGTGTAATTTGACCTTTAGAATCGATTTCCGACGTTTCCCGAGCGATAGGATTTAAGCAACGCAATGTTCAACCTCGTACCCAGGGCCTTTGCGCGGTTCAGAGGCTCTGGTACGGGAAGCAAAGGCCCTGGTAAACACTGGTCACGTGTGTCCAAAAATATTGGACATTTCGTAATAATTCAGTTTTCAATCCGGGGGGAGCGGAGCCGATTGATTTTGTCAAACATGGCAGCGGGAAGGCGCGACGTTTTCGAGTTTTATTAGTTTACGATAAATAAAACTTTCCTAGTGAGATTTAAAGTGGGTACATATTAAAAGTATGCATTCTACGAGCTTTCTTTCAACAAATTGTGGAATAGCGAACGGTAATACTTATCAAAGATCGAGGATCAAACTAAGAGAAAACTAGTCGAGTGTAAACTGTCTATTTTGTATCCATGCATCTGCTTGTGTGCGACCTTTTATAAAGAATTAAATAAACATTATTGATTAATAATGATTATAAGTAATTTTTACGTATTGACCAAAGAATATCAGCTTGGGATTTTATTGTACTTTCATGGAAGGATACATATATACTCAAGTAAATATGTGCCTGTATGTAGTTATCAAACCAGAATATTTTGACAGTGACAGGTTGGTTTCCGTATGTATGTAGTTTAAAATACAGTTATGAATGAAATTATACACAGTATCTTGAAACCTTTGTGTGCGAGTTAATTTCATATTTATTTTTTTGGATGT